TTAGAAGGAAGTCGTTTAATGGCTAAAGTTTTAAAGGAGTTACCACATTTGAAGATTGGTAATTTATTCTCTGATTCAATGGTTACGTTGGCGAGAATTTCTAGTAATCCGAAAAGTCTTGGTGCTTTTGAGTCGAATCGTATAAGAGAAATTCAAAGTTTTGGCAATCTTCATATTTGGAAATTTATCCCAACCAAGATTAATCCAGCCGATTGTTTATCTCGTGGTTTGTCTTTGGAAAAGTTGAAAATGAATAAACTTTGGTGGAATGGTCCAACTTCATTTTCGGNAGCCTTAGAAGGAAGTCGTTTAATGGCTAAAGTTTTAAAGGAGTTACCACATTTGAAGATTGGTAATTTATTCTCTGATTCAATGGTTACGTTGGCGAGAATTTCTAGTAATCCGAAAAGTCTTGGTGCTTTTGAGTCGAATCGTATAAGAGAAATTCAAAGTTTTGGCAATCTTCATATTTGGAAATTTATCCCAACCAAGATTAATCCAGCCGATTGTTTATCTCGTGGTTTGTCTTTGGAAAAGTTGAAAATGAATAAACTTTGGTGGAATGGTCCAACTTCATTTTCGGAAGAAGTTAGTTTGGATAAGGCAGTCGTTCTTGCGAATGTTAGAAGAAGTTCATCAGAAATTTCTTTTGAAACAAATATATTTGAAAGAATCTGTAATCTCAAATTCAAGAAAGCATTATTGGTGATCGAAAGATTGTTAGCTTGGATGTCTTCAAGAGTAGAAGATTCCCAGAGAATCCATTATCAACCATTACTTCAACTACTAAAAATAGTCCAGAAGAATCTTTTCAAAAATGAATTTCAACATCTGTTTCGTCAGGAGCCTTTACCTAAAGATTCTCCGCTTCATAAATGGCCAATTTTCTTAGATGATGACGGCTTAATTCGTTTAAAAAGAAGAATCGACAATAGTGAATTATCTTTCGAAGAAAAATTTCCGATAATTTTGTTTAATTCTCCGATTGTCAAAGACATGGTGAAAGAGTTTCATATAAAGTTCTTTCATGCAGGAATTTCTAGAACCATATTTGAGT